TCATTTCTCACATTCTCTGTCCATTGAACCAAATCTCTTTTCTTCACCTGTAAGGAATTTGTCCAGGATTCAGTGCCATATAAGAGAGATATAGATAGCAGTCCAACACTTTTCCTTTTCTTTCTAAAAACCTTTTCAAATCCTTTAATATCTTGCTCAGATTCGGAAAGGCATCTTTCACTATACCTATGTGATTTGGTTTTCTATATCACATTTTCACATTAACCATGTACATTTAATTTTGCAATGTCAGCAGTATCAGAGAATATGATAAGGAAATGATATATCAAATTAATGGTGTGTAAATTAATGACAAAATGGAAACAAATACTTATCTAGAGCTCCTTGATAAATGCCAAAGAATAATCGGCAATATTATTCGTACTGATCTGGCGGCTCGTCTTCGGTCACTTACCCACTATCGTAAGGTTGCCTCTACTTTCATGGCAATTGTTCGGATGAGAGCTTCGTTATGGTACTTGAACTTTTTAAATTTAAGCTCAATACTAGACTGACATCGGGATCTCATCAATTTACAGTTGAGCTAGCTAGATGTAACCATAAGTTCTATGCTAACAGTTTCTTTTCTCGCACCTCTCATTTGTGGAACTCCTTTTCGGCTCTATGCTTTCCAGCCAATTTTAATTTGCATAAATTAAATGCAATGTCAATCGCTATCTACTGTCCTCCTGATTACTCTTTTCTCTTTCCACTCTTTAATGCTTCTGCTTTAAACGGAGTGATACCGACTTTAAAAAAAAAAGAAAAAAAAGAAAGACTAAATATTTCTTTGTTCATTTTACCTCAAGCTGGGTAATTAAGCCGCTAAGACGCAAGGGGTTCACTGCTTGTGAAAGAAAACGAAAGACATTATTAAGGGAAAATAAAAGAACTGGAAATTAGTCGGCAGAAGATAAAAAAATGACATTGCATTTAAATTTGGGAAGATCAAAGTTAACAGGAAAACATGAGGCTAGAAGAGTCAGTCAGGTGACATACGTGATTCACGCTTGGGTGATAATGTCTTTTTCAAGTCATGATTAACGAAGCAGAACATTTTCCTTTAGCAGGTCGGCATTTCCTTCTGCGGTAGACCGGTTGCCACCGAAGGCTATAGAACCGAGTTTGTCCCACTAATTACCCATAGCTGGGGTAGGGGAGTTAGATTCATACCTTTCTCAAGCGTATTAGCAAGTAAGTGAATGAGATGGACTCGACTGGAATTCGAAATCGGTTCTCTGATTCCTCAATTCGAGCCGTAATCAGTTACTCTACCGTGTTTCCTGAAGAGTATTGTGCTTCGTAAAGTTGAGGTAACTAAAAGGAAAGTTCATCATAAAAATGATCATGAAAATATTTATAGAAAAAGCACTGGAAGCTATGTTACGGTAGTAGGAAAGGGACTGAAGTTGAGATGAGAGGTTAGTACCAATAACATTGCAGATTCTTCTGCAGATTTTATTGATGGAATCATATGTATATTTAGGGAGATGAAACGAGATAAAACAAACGCCGGTTATAGCTATATTTTGGGAGGAAGTCTGAAGATGCAGGAAGACTTTAATTTAAATTTTACATTTCTGGCGTTCGATGTATCTAAATGCACTGCCTAGCTGACCACATTCATCTTTCTACTGGTTTAGTTTTTTGTCACAGTTGTATTTAAAGTGTTGTATTATTATATTGTTATAGCAGTAGTTTTGATGAGAATGGCGACATGTTGTATAATCATGAACATACAATTATCGTGGAAGTCTTAGAATTTAGCTCTTCAAGGTATAACAATAAACTACATCCGGCAGCAAGACCACTTATATTGAGGTTTTGAGGAGCGTGGTATCACCCTTTAATTGCTGTTGTTCTAAGGTCCATCCTGACACGGGGTGGTAGCACCTGTTAGGCTCCCAGCTATGGGCAAATAGTGAACTCCAAAACTGGGATCAAAACACTATGAAAATATAAAAATACATTTTATAGTAAATGTAGAAGAGAAGATGATTTATCTCGAGTGGGAAAGCGAGCACGTATATGCCAAGCGTGCAAAACGAGTGAAGGAAAGGAAAAAATATGACTGCTCTGACACATTGATTTAAGAAAGACACGGTCTTGGTGCTAGGAGAATTGGCGAGAGTAGTTGGGCGAAATGCAATTTTTTTGCGAGATCAGCTCGGCTTAAAAAACACCACTTGAGAGAAAATAGTTCGCTTGTGAACATGGTGCTGCTTGTACAGAGAGACTTTGTCAGTTGGAAAGAGATTACTTGAGTCAGTTTCACACATTAAAAATACCAGCAATTTATTTTCATAGTAAAAAATTACAATAATTTTTTATAAAAAAATAAATATTACCAGCAATACATTTTTGTAAACATAAATCCCCCAAAATTAAATTTCAGCATTAAATGACCCATTAGGAGTTGATATGCCGCTAAACAACAAACAAATAAACTTAGAATTTAATACATTTACTATACATTTTTGTCTTACTAAATTACGTTCTCTTTTAAGCCGCAATTATGGCCAGACTAATTACGATGAACGATTCATGACTTGTGTGTTGTTTAGGAAAAGATCTCTTTTCTGTTCATATAGATGGATGTATGACCAATCGTATCCGACAATGCCCAACTACTAGTCGGCTAGCTAATCCCTGTTACAGACGCCTGCTCGAGCACATTTCTGTTTGTTTAACAACCACAGAGCCAACCTGTTGTTTATACTTCCACTATGCTGGGAGAGAGCGCATTATATAGCGTTATCAACAGATTGAAAAAAGGACAGCATGCTAAAACCCTCGATAACGATGACTTGGAGCTTGCTCAACTACCGACGGCTCCCAAGGGTTCCGTCTGCGCAATTTCACTCACTTGAGGTATGGTTTTAGTCACTTTCTAAAGGTGCCGCACGATATTGTCTCCTCCAAACCGATAACATCAAGAAGTCACCTGGCGAAGTGTCAAATCGGCCATGGTGAGATTCGAACCCGGGTCGCATGGTCAGAAAGCGAACGTTCTAATCACTCGTGCCATATTGTGTTCATATATTCTTTTATTTGAATTCCTAGAAGTTTCACCTTTGTATTTATTGTGGCATTTTCTTAAGTCTGTAATGTATATTACTGCTTCAGGTTATCATCTATTTTTATATAAATTACATTTCTTATTGTTTTTGAAGCAATTGTAACAAATTTTATATTTAAGCTTTGATAATTTCTTTTCAGTTGTGGTCGTCATTAAATTGGTAGGAACTATTACGTACTTTCATCAAGATTATTTATATTACAGTCCGCCTTCTTTACACCTGCAAACCTGGAATCACGTCACCGCCTGACCACAGAAAATGCCAGATATCAGAAATCATCCCATGAAACAAAACACTATAAGTCTTACCATCTCATTCCACATATATGTTGTTGACACTTCTTTTTCAAATTACTTCAGTAACCCTCCCTTTTCAAACATTGATAAAGTATTATAACTACTCTTCTTACCTCTAAAGGCCGCATCACGTTGAAACACCCGTTCCCATACGACCACTAAAGTAAAGCAACATCGAGCTTCGTCAGTACCGAGATGGGTAACCGATTAGTAATTCCAGTTGTCGGAAATATATTGATTGTTTAGGTAAAGTATTTTGGAAGGGACCAATTTTTAGAAATTCTAGGAAAACTCAAACTAAAACACTGCTAAAATACTAAATTTTCTTTATAATGAGTCGTCAATATTATTATAATTTTGCCTATTGTTAGGAAGAAGCTAATTTTTGGTTGTACAGAATGTTTTTAAGCATTTTTTAAGAATTACATTCTTACATAGTGTATTTGACATCTAAACTGACCATGAGCAGTAGCGTGTAAAAGGAAATTTGAAATAAAGTGTATATTTCATGCTTCATCTGTTTTACATATTTAAAATGTCTTCCTTTCTCACATTTCTCAGTACTAGGCCCTATAGCACCCCATATTTGAGTCTTAGGGGCATATAATCAAGGAGTTGGTCCCTGACATCACCAAACCTCTACACGCCACTGACCATGAGTATGTTTTTGAGCAGGTCATCGGAATCTTTAATATGTGTACAGGTAATTGTTCCAAGAAGTGATGTCAATTTTTTGGCTAGTCTACGATTAATTCCAGATATGCTGTGTCGCAACGGAATAATCTGTTTTATGAATTTTTGGTAGACTATAAAATCTGGGTATTTTTGGATGTTATTCGATTAATTTTGACTATGTTTTTCTCATTATTAACTAACTTTCTAACCGCTTTATTGAATTTGTTTGTTTCAGAAATGATTTTGCATTCATCAAATTTCTTTGCTATTATCGTTGTGGCTATTCTTATTCAGGATTAAAAAATCCCACCTCCTTTATCAGGGAATCTGATTGAAATATTTATATTTGTTTTGGAGGTTAAATTTTGTAGTGTTTTTATGTGTGGAATCCTTACATCGGTTCATGCTATTTACGTCACAAGGTCGAAACAGCTTAATTTCTACCATATTTAATTTGTAAGGAGGAAGTTCCTTTCAGAGAGACTTTCCCGAGAAATGCTATTTTGTGGAACAAACCAGTGTGAATATTCCACTGGCGACAATAATCTTAACATCTTGATTTGAGAAAATCACTGTAAATCCTCCTTATCTTCATAATCTTCCCTTCCTTTTACCTCCTCTTGCGTCCATATCTCACACCTCATCAATAAACTTCTGCCATGAGTGTCTCTTGGGACTTGTATTGGATGAACTTCTGTATAAAAAGAAAATCGTATTCTTGCTTTGTCATAAGGAAGTCTTTGATACAATAACTTTTCTCTCTTAATTACAAGTATTTGGGTCTTGATTGGAGAATAGCATATATACTCCTTCTTTCAAACGTCTTATTCTCTAACAGAATTACAACCGTAATTGATATTTATCATTCAAACATTTAGATTTTGGTTCGTTTCTTTCCCTTTTTTTATTCAGGGTTTAATTCTAAAAATTAAATCATTTCCTTTTTCAGTGTTTCAAGATGTACACGTGATGATCTTCGTTGGTTTTGGTTTTCTGATGACTTTCCTCAAGAGATATGGATACGGAAGCGTTGGATTCAACTTCTTAATTGCCGCCTTCGTACTTCAGTGGGCCACACTCGTTGGAGGTTATCTGAAAAGCCATGGCGAGAGGATCAAACTCACAATTGATACGTAAGTATGAAACTTCAGACTATTTTGTTTGTTTTACAGTACAACCAGGGACAAATATCACATCATTAAACAAAATCGTGTCACTCGTAAATTTTGTTTCGTCTTACGGTATATCAACCTTTTTTCGGTTATTTAATGCTGGATTATCTTGTTTTGATAAAATGTTGAATATATATATATATATATATATATATATATATATATATATATATATATATATTGTTTATACGTTATTTTTATACATACAAATATTCAAGTAAATGCTCTATTTATAACAAGCAGTATTAACAACATTTAACCGACTGAATGTCCGAGAAATTTCATAGAAAATGTGTCCTACGACAGGAATCGAACCTGTATCCTACACGGAAGCGTCATATAACCTGACATACCATACCATTTTGTGACAGGCCGGTAAATGTTGTTAATACTATTTATAATAAACAGATGATTTACTTAAATATTTGTATGTATAAAACTAAACTATAAACAATAAATGTACAAAAATAATGGTCGGACTGAGTCCATTTCATAATACATATATTGATGTGGGGCCAAAGTTGGGACCACAGAAGGAAAACACGGAACACGGATTAGATGTAAGAAAGATATATTAACAACAGGTTACAGAGATAGTGTAAGCGGAGCTTACTATATGTTAGTGACCAACATTGGTAGTCGTACTAGACTCTCACTGTCACTCTCTCTGTCACTCTCTAGAGTGCTATGTCGCCTACTTAATATAGGCCTGGAAGAGTCTATTGTGTAGGTAGTTTCCGGTCTCACAATATATATATATATGTGTGTGTGTCTCTGTGTGTGTGCCTGTCTGTGTGTGTGTGTGTGTGTGTGTGAGTGTTTCTGTGTGCGTGTATAAAAATTCGGAAATGACTAAAAATATACCTGTAAAAAATATGAATAAAGACAAATGGGAGTCTTATCTTAACCGACGCGTTTTGTCCTCTGATGGACTTTATTAAGGCAAACGTAAGGATTTTATTTTGCAACAAGTATTTATAAACAAAAGTAAAAATATTATTTTGCTACAATTTTTAAATTTATGAACGTTCATAAATACTACATACATCAGATTATCTGAAAGAGTAAATCATTCAGGCTATTAAGTGATGCAATTTAATGTTGTCAAATAAACGAAAATGAAAGTGATGTTTTTTTTTTTTTATAATGTAATTATTATTTATATTAAGTTATTTAGAGATTATTTTACGTATTATACATTTTAAATAATAGAAAGTTTTGAATTTAATCGGATTCATTTTATAAAAAAAATAATTATAGTCATGTATGTTGGCTCGATAAAGGTGTAGATTTTGTCTTTATTTACAAAGACACACACGCATAGTCGCACACAGACACACACACACATATATATATATATATAGAGAGAGAGAGAGAGAGAAAGAGAGAGACAGAGAGACAGAGAGACAGAGAGAGAGAACCACCCACAAATTAATTCGTGAACTTGACAGGATTAAGCCTAAAATAAATAAACATAATACGTCTAACTTATTTAACCAAACATGGTTGAAATATATATATATATATATATATATATATATATATATATATATATTAGAAAAAAATTGACAAAGTGGAAAAATTGTCCGTGTAATGAGCTTCGTCCTTTAAAAATTCATCAAACTAAAATGATTTTTGCGTTGATGCGACTGCACATGCGCACAGAGGAGAGGCGACGGAAAAATTTTAAATTTAAACTTCATGTATATAGTATAGCTGATTTAATTTAGTTTCTTTTTGTTTGTTTTTATCGCTTTTCTCATTATATGTCATAACAGATGATGTGCCCCAAATGTGAAGTATTGTAAGAAACTCGGCGTAAATTTACTGAGAATGATCTAACAATTAAAACACTTTCTATACACCCTACTCTTAGCAAATTTCTTTCTCTTTTAATTAGAGTAGCAATTTTTTAAATCAAAATTAAAGCCAAGCTCATTAGAGTGAGCACCTAATTCAACGAGTGTTAACAAAAGTGTATATAAAAAATCCTTTAATCGCTAGATCACCACAGTAAATTCGCTGGAAGTTGGAAGCAGAGACTTTACAATCATCGGCATTCCTTCACCAATGCTTCTTTAAAATATCAAACTGCTCTTTCTAAACATTATCGGACTCTTAAATATGGAGGCTTCACCCTACAACTTAAATGGAGGATCATCTTTCAATCTCAGTCCCACAACAACTTCCGGGACAGGTGCAATATATCCTTACAGGAAAAATCATAATGATTATGTATAAAAATGCTGATAAATTATTGAACCAACGGAACGAATATATCTTCAAGTGTAGACACAAAAACAGATTTACACTTAAAGTATTGATTCTGTTTTATATAGGTACTGACATGTGAACGTTCATGCATTCACATTTTTATATGATCATTTGTGCGATTTTCTTGTCTACATCAGTTATAATCTTAAAATATTAATTATTCTTATATTATCTTTATATTGTTATTATTATTATTCCTTATATGTATATGAATATGTATGTATGTGAATGCATTTTATGTTTATATATATATATATATATATATATATATATATATATATATATATATTTACATATTTTAAGTTTTTAAGTTCTTTAAAATTATTCTTTATTTATCTCTTAATTTTTTACTAATTAATTTATTTTTATTTATTTAATTATTTTATTAAAATTTTATGTATATATTTATGTACATTTTTTATATTTTTAACTTTTATCTAACTTAATTTATTTTACTTTAACTTACTTTATTTTATTGATGTCAAATATTATCATTATTATTATCATCAATTTGAAATTATGATGTTTGTGATGCGATGGGGATAATGGTTTCGCTGTCGAAAATAACATGACAATCCAACAATTTTTTCTGAATCTGGCTACATTTCCTCGTCCTCGTTTAAAAATCAGGAGGTTAGTCGAATCCGCTACCTTGGTTTGAACCTGACGGTATGCTCAGGTGATTTTTTCATCAAATGACCACGCAACCCATTATTATTTTTTTTTTTTAAACTAAAGAACGCTACATTATTATTTTCAAAAATAAATAAACAAACAAACGCACGATGTTGGGTGTAATAGAAAGGGAGGAGAGGATGTGAAGAAGAAGAAGAAGAAGAAGAAGAAGAAGAAGAAGAAGAAGGAGCGGGGAAGAAAAGCAAGTGTATTGTAAAAGCACCGGTGAGGTTAAAAATACATTTTTTTTTATCCAGCCTCGTATGCACTAAAGAAAAACTTTTCTGATATGTAAGCAAGGACTTCTAGATTTCTAGTTTAAAAGGTGTTTTTTTTCACTTCTTATTTTATTTTATTTATTTTTTATCCGGAAATGTGATAATTGCTAATTTTTCCTGTTACCAGTGGCTGCAAATACGGTTGCGATTTTTGTACGGTTTTGCTTTTTTTAATTTTCCACCTTACCAACGGATACCTGTTGTTTTTTTTCTTTTATTCTTGAAAATTAACACATGCTCTCGTCCGGTCAGTAAATAAAAAAAGTAAAAGACGAAAAATTTATGAACTTGTATAATTTACGCTAGTATCACTATTTTTTGCAGTAGCCAAACCTCAAAGCAATCGAAAGCCATCAGAGGCCATCAGAAGATAAATCTCTATTTTAGGAAGTCTTCCCAGCGTTAAAAGCATAACAGATCATATGTAAAATGAAACCCTTAAATTTAGACGTATTTCCTCTCGCTGTACGCATGGGAGAGCAAGCATAATAATAGAGTAAGTATAATAAGGAGAGCAAGTATGATATCAAACGATAACTCATAAAGTAATAACGAAAACGCATGACTTGGAGAACCATTTTCACTAAAAAGAGAAAAAAAATCGTAAATAAAACAGTAACACCCATTTATCTGTTTACTAGTAATACAGTTCTTTTTTGTACCTTGTCCGTACAAAACAGGCGCTATTATGGCTCTCCACAACTTCCTATCCTTCGTAGTCTCCTTGCTATCCCTTCTAGTATCTATTCTGACATCCATTTTCGTTAGGTAGGTTACTCGATTTTTCCCTCTGACCTTCCTGTCTTCAATATGTCCGGTATCAAAATTTCCGACCCTTCTTTCTTCGATATGTGCCGCAGAAATTTTAACTGTCTCTCATTCTAACTATAAGTGTTCTTTCCATTTTCGTTAAAACTGCTTCGTTTCTCACTCGATGTTTCTGACCCTCTTGCCTTCAGTGAATGTTAAATTCTCCCATCCTTCTTTCCTCGTTATGTGTTCCAGAAATTTCAACTGTCACTTTTTTATTCTAACCACCCGTGTCCTTTTCAATTCCATTTTCAATTTCCTTTTCATTACAACTTCTTCTTTTCTCGCATACCCTGTCCATGTTATTGTTAGTATTCTATTGTAGAACCGCATCTCTGTTTCCTCAGACCCCTCTTCCAATGTGTGATAATTATCCAATATTCACTGCCATATAATAGGATTGATATTACGATAGAGGCTAGCACTCTTTTCTTTGTTACTAATGAAAATTTCATTTTTTCTAATCCGTTGGTTAGCTTCTTGAAGGCATATTTCTTTATTCCAATGCGTCTCCGTATTTCTGACTCACATCTTTTATCGTCTGTTAAAACACATCCCAGATCGTTAAATCTAGAGAGTACTTGTCTGACTTTGACATCTCCAATTCGTATCTGCTTCTCTTGCTAATGACACTATATTCTCTCTTATAACTGTTGGTTAGTCTTTTGCCCCTGATCTCGTTTACTACCTTGTCTAGGATATGTTGCAATTTTATGGGTATTATGTGTTACGGAGGAAGCACGGTGGAGTAATGGATAGCGGCTCAGACTGACGAATCAGAGATCCGAGTTCGAATTCAAGTCGAATCTATTACATTCACTTACGTGCTAATAGCCTTGGGAAAGATACGTATCCTCTTCTCCCGCCTCCAGTTATGGGTAAATAGCAGGACAGATTGGGTTCTATAGCCTTGGATGGCAACTGGTCTATCACAGAAACAAATGACAACCTACTGCGGGAAAACTCTGCCTCGTCAGTCATGTATCGAAAGATACATGATCGCCTAAGCGTGTATATCGCATGGCACACAACTGACTGACTGAAGTTTTACATAATGGAAATGTAACATATAGAAATAAGATGAATATTTCAAGATCTTTTCAATATTGTAATATATAAAATCGTTTCTTTTTCTTTATGAAAATGGTTTCTGTCTGAATATTTTTGATGAGTAATTATTATTATTATTATTCATTAATCTATTTAGATGAGAGTCTTTATCTTAGATGTCATATTCCAGCCGTTTTAACGAAAAACATATTTCAGGTTTATGTTGTACTAAGTTGCCTTCTGGAGAGCATGGCTAGATGCTGAAAGTCGCCTTGTGAACTGGACTTGTTGTCGAGAGAACCAATTTTGCAGCGAATGCGGACGGCGGTGTCCGAAATGGTGTTACCTGCAGAAGTGATTGAATACCTCGAGCCCTTGAAGGTCCCCGCTTCCTATACCAATTTTTTGAGATTAAATTTTTCCACCCTACAGCTTATTTAATCATTAACTAAAGAATAAAGATTCATCAGAATATTAAAACAGAAAAACCGTGAAAATTTTAACACGAATTTATTAAGCTATTTTTTCTTTATCACAAGCGCAGTAATGATCCTATTATTTCCGTCTGCTCTTGTGTCAAAATAAATAAACTTAGTCAACAAGCACATTTATTAATTGGAATATTTTGTTTTTAGATTGCTGACGTCTGACTTTGCTGCTGCTGCTGTGTTGATCTCGTTCGGCGCCCTTCTGGGAAAAACCAGCCCCACGCAGCTGATTATCATGGCGCTGATTGAAATCGTTTTATTCTCCGTTAGTGAACATCTGGGACTGCATACGTTTAAGGTTAGTGAATAAAATCTATCTATCTATCTATCTATCTATCTCATCTATCTATCTATCTATCTATCTATCTATCTATCTATCTATCTATCTCAGTCTGTTCATATCTATCTATCTATCTATCTATCTATCTATCTATCTATCTATGTACTACCGAACATATATACCTATATTTCTAGGCAACACTGGTTCTTATCAAGCTGTTAATATGTACAAAATTAGTTATCTTTATCTATTAATCTACCTCTGGTTCGCTCTCTCTTCCTCTCTTTCTTTCTGTCTGTCTGTCTGTCTGTCTGTCTGTCTCTCTCGAGCGAAGAGAGAGAAAAAGCGAGGTAGGTTAATTAATAGATCAATTAATAGATTATTCTTTTATAAATTAATTAATAAATAGCTTCATAAAGCTAAATATATATGTATGTATATATACATATATATATATATATATATATATATATATATATATATATATATATATATATATATATATATATATATATATGCATACATACATACACACACACACACACACACACCTGGACTTTTCAAATAAAGCCTTTTCCAAACCAAATAGATTATTCTTTTATAAATTAATTAATAAATAGCTTCATAAAGCTAAATATATATATATATATATATATATATATATATATATATATATATATATATATATATATATATATATATATATATATATATTGCGTACATGTATACATACACACACACCCCCGGACTTTTCAAATAAAGCCTTTTCCAAATCAACGTACGTGACCATAGAAATATTAAAAGAAAATTGTTAAATCAGAACCTTCTACTATTTAAATAAGTACGTAAATAATTTAGCAAATTAGAATAAAATAATAGATAAAAATTACATTAAAATATAATTACCAAATGAATATGTATAGATAAAAAATTAAAAACAATAATATTTACTCACTTTCGTTTATGACACATTAAATTAATCGCTTAGCCTAATCTAGAGTTTCCTTCGACTTTCACATTTAACACAAACGTTATTAAATTTTGAAATCTATCGATATTTGTACTTCTTTATAAATACTAGTTGTAAAATAAAATCCTTTGATTTGCCTTGATAATGTTTGTCAAATATGGAAAATAATGGCCGACACTGACTTAATGACAAAGTTTTCTTCAAGACAAACTTCCCTAAAGACTACTGAACTGTTATTTAACTCATTGATGGGGCTAGAAGAAATGGATGCACGTTTTTTCTATCACGAATGCTTTAGTATGTAGGGAAGGTTTTATATCTATCTTTCTCTCTCTCTCTCTCTCTCTCTCTCTCACACACACACACACACATATACATATATATATATATATATATATATATATGATTAATAAAAATATAAAATTAGTATCAATCCTATTAATGCTCTATCTCTGATATCGAGCACTTTATTGCAACGACTGCTTGGCTTACATTTACTTTCTTTCAAACTTCGACAAACTAACACTATTTTTGTTATCGTTAGAAATACATATATCTCAAACCAAATCTAAAAAAAAAGGATCCTGGCCTTTTATTATATCGTTGACCAAAGAACCTTAAGGAAATCATAGGTGGTAACCAAATTTCAGCCGACAAAGTAACAGGAAATAGACCAAGAATAAAAACAACAGTTTTCCAACCATGTAATGACAAAAGGAGCCTATGTTGTACCCACATTACGCACACCAGCTCTTACACTAGCACATTCACTATCACTACTTTCAAAATCTTCTACAACTCTAACTCTAGAAGTCATAACATAATTTACTAATTAGAATGCTAGAAACAAAATGTGGGAAAATCTGTATTGCCATTTCACTACAGAATTAATAAATATCACAATCGGATTAAGTCGGCTCCCCACAAAAGATTATTACCTGTTGAACAACAATCCCGCCTAGAAAAACATGATTTTAATAGTCAGGTAAAAGTCACTATTATTAAAAGAATAGAAATAGACACAAAAGATAAACTTAGAAAAATACTAGAACATGAAGAAAAATGGATTTTGTGTCTTATTAACACTTTGACCCGACGGATTTAACAACAAACTAAACAATACAGATAGAATTAATGTATAATCCCATAGATCAACTCCCACCCATATTTCTCAACCACACTAGACAGACATGCTTGTAGAGTTGCTGAGATCTCCAACATACACACACGTATATATATAAACATACACACATCACGCACACACCCAAAAGACTAAAAGATAACATACACATAACACACACATTTCCTTCCCAGCAACAAATAAAGCTGTCAGAATGTCTAAGGAGATGAATCTGAGATTCATGAATCTCCCCGCCTTCTGTTAAAAGAACTTGAAGGATGATTTTTGTCCGATACAAGGACTGGCCAAAAATTAACGATACAAAATAAATTCACTTTCTTCAGAGAAAGTCATACTTTCATGTAGTTCATTGCTACTAACAAGCAGGAATTTCTTTTTCTTGAAGATGGCCATCTGGCCAAAACTAGGAGAGAAAGCTAATTTAAATAATAAAAGAAAAATATTAATATATAACCCAGTGTGTCTGAAATTTTAATTTTGTAACATTTTTATTGTTCAAGACATATATATATATATATATATATATATATATATATATATATATATATATATATATATATCTTGGGAGAGTGTCTGTTAAAATATTTTTTCTAACGCTTCAGATTCTTTTAATTCTGTTTTCAGTCCGGTTCTCAAACCATATTTCTATTCTCAGGTTGTTGACATCGGCGGTTCTATGTTCGTGCATGCCTTTGGTGCCTACTTTGGTCTCTCTGTCAGTCGCGTCTTGCACAATCCGGAAGTTGAAGAATCGAAGAAAGAAGGCGCAGTCTATCATTCTGATATCTTTGCTATGATTGGTAAGGAGTAAATTTGGCATTTAATTTGACTAAATTTTTTTTTCCGGAACTGTTTTCAGAGAATATTTTCTGCTAGTCTAAAACAAAATGGTCGTTTTGTTTTCGTTTCATATTTATTTATTCCGATAAGTAAAGTTTTAGGAGATGGACATAGTTATGCGTAGGCGCTGTGAAAATTTTAGCTTTAAATAGAGTGACTTAGTAACACTACATTCCTAAGGAGTGGAAACAGAGGAAATCAGGTGGATAGCAGATAGTGATTGACATTGGATTTAAATTATTGCAGATTAAAGTTGGCTTGAAAGCATGGAGCTGGAAGGAAGTTCCACAGGCGAGAAAAAACTATTAGCATGGAAATTACGGTTACATCTAGCCAGCTCGACTGTAAATTGGTGAGACCTCTTCGCAAGTCTAGTACTGAGCTTATTTCTTTCATGAGAATTTCAGCCATTCTGCGTTTTTCAGGCCGATACATCTCCGCGAGTGTCCAGGCTACTGTGGTATCAGTCAGTTATGTGCCATACGTGATACATGACTGACGAGGCAGATATTTTTTTCCCGTAGTAGCCATTTGTTTCTGCGGTAGACCAGTTGCCATCAAAGGCTATATAACCCAGGATAGCTGGGAGAAAAGGATCATACCTTTCCCAAGTGTATTAAAACTTAAGTGAATGTAATGGATTCGACTGGAATTCGAACTCGGCACTCCGATTCCTCAGTCTGAGCCGCTATCATTACTCCACCGTGTTGTTGTTGCCATTTGTCTATTTGTTTGGAAACCATTTCAAGAAAGATTGCCAACAAATGCTAAATTCTATCTGTCCATTGTTTGAGGACTTGTGATTACGGTCGTATGGCTTTCAACCACATTTCGACGGTGCCGAACGATCTCCTCGGTACTACATATCAAGAAGACACTTCTTCGCCTAATCGACTATAATGAGATTCGAACAGGGGACACATGGTCGGAAGGCTAATGCATTAAACATTTAGCCACGCGCACATATGGTAGATTTATAGCGGGGCACTGAAGAATGCGAAATTGGAACACATAATTACATTAATATGGTTAAATTATTTATTTGGCCATTAAATTAACATTTGCTTTATTTAAACGTTCTAAAAAACTTCTGATAGTAAAGCAGTGTGGAAAAAAAAATTCCGCACTTACTAAGAAATGAGATTGGGTGAAAATTTGAATTAGGTTCAATAATCTGCTTTTAAATTTCATTATGAAAACATTGACATAGATACTAAAATATGATATATATATATATATATATATATATATATATATATATATATATATTAAAAATCAGGGTTCAACCTTATGGTATTTTCATATGATTTTATCAAATTTAATCAAATTTGGTAAAAATCGCCTGAGCATACTGTATTTTATTTTTGCACGTGTGTATTGAGCACTTTTTAATACCACTGTTTCCTGGTCTGTTTCATTAACCGTTTATGTATTTATATATATATATATATATATATATATATATATATATATATATATATATATATATATATATATATTTATAATTATTTATAATGAATATAATCAAATGAATAAATATAGATAAATGTACGTGTACGTGTTCACACGCAGATAGTGTTGCTATTATTATTATTATTAATAATAATAATAATATATTTTTCTTATATTATTAATGTTATTATTGGCATGACCAACCATTTTATTTTTATTATTTTTACTATGTTTACTATGTCATCATTATTCTTCTTAGTATTACTATTTCGTGTGTGCGTTTTGTGTGAGTGTGTATGCGTGTGCGTGTGATAAGGTAAGGGTCAGTTACCAACTCAAGGAATGCACATCTCCGACTGGAGCCTCTAGAAGTCTATATCTGCTAGTTTTTTGTACCCGAAACTCGACATTTTTTTAAAACTATAAATACCATTTATGTGGGCACATGTCTTTTGACGTGAAGCCCCTGTTATTTTTGAAACAGTGAAATTAATGTTAATGGACACAGAAATCCAGAAGTCCTTCTTAAAGAAAAATAAATAATTCCTCCATTCTTGTTTAATCGGTAGGTCACACTTCAGCTAAAGTGGGGATTTTCCTGATTGGAAAAGAGAATACAGGTTTGAAAAATACTGCAACAAAACAAATTAAGATCAGCAATAACGACGCATATTTAATTTACAGCAGATATTCTCTGTATGCTTAAAAATGACTCTAGGATAAATCGGCTGATATTTACCGTAGTAACTAAAGCATCAAAATAAATAATTCGTGAGCTCATAAAGATCGGTAAAAAACTTATAAATATATTTTCCCTTCAATTGTCCGTTAGTAAAAATGGTGTCAACTTTAATTAAATCACTGTTTCAAATAATTATCGTCATTTCATTTTTCAGGAACTCTCTTTTTGTGGTTGTTCTGGCCAAGTTTTAACAGCGCCCTCGCTCATGGGGATGACAGAGAACGAGCCATCATCAACACTTATTACGCTTTGGCCGCTTGCTGTGTTGTGACTTTTGCTGTTTCTTCATTACTTGATGGAAAACGACGATTAGATATGGTCAGTTGCTACGGTGATAAACCTATGATTCTTTTTTCTTTCTCTCTTTTTCAAAAGCACACTATCTTTCTTAATCTTTTCCTATGTATTTCAATCTGTCCTTATACATACATACATACATATATATATGTATGCATGTTTTATGTCTGTCTCTCTATCTATGCTTTATATCTATTTATCTAGCTATGCTTTTTGTCTAGTGTTTATGCCTAGCCTATCTATCTATCTATCTATCTATCTATCTATCTATATATATATATATATATATATATATATATATATATATATAATATGCTTTATCTGTCTATGATATATGTCTGTGTATGCTTTATGATTATCTGTCTAGTTATCTACCTATGCTTTAAGTCTATCTAACTATGCTGTATGTCTGTCTATCTATCTATCTATCTATCTATCTATCTATCTATCTATCTATCTATATATATATATATATGTGTGTGTGTGCTTTAAATCTATCTATATTATGCTATATATTTGTCTGTCTATCTATCTATTATTTATGTCTGTCTATTTCATTATAAGTAAATATCACAAAGAAAAATAGGAAATAAATGAAAGCTGATTTATTAACAGTAATATTTTGTCATTAATGAAGAACTACATTGGAAGGCTAAAACAGTTGGGCTAGAGTTGGATCCTTCATGAAAATTATAAAATCAGCAAGGCTTAGAAGACAACAAGCATGGAAGTGGAGTAATAGTTTGGTCAAGTATCTTATGCTGTAAAATTATAGATCTATCTATCAATCTATCTAGTTTCTATTTTTAGCTATCTTTCATTTGTCTATCTAAGTCTGTCAAGCTGTATATATCCGTATTTTCGTATCTATATACAGTGACACGCAAAAGTATTGAATATATTGTATTTTTTTAATTCTTTTGACTTGAATATAGTCACTATTTATATGACATATAAGGAGAAATAAATAGATGTTTCTCTACACGTAATTATATTGAAAAATATAACAGAGTGAAGACGAAAAAGTTTTGGACACATCAATGAACAGTATTTAATATGTCCTTATGTATTTTTCTATGTGCCATATCTCTTCTGTCCCTTCTCAACTTCCTATACATTGTAAATCTTAATAAGATTTTTCCTCTTACACTCCCTGCTTATCCATTTACACAAACACGTCAGGTACGTTACTGTTCGATCAGCAAAATTAACCAGCGTTGAGCCCGGTCAGTGCTAGGGGACACCGGATACTGTAAGCGCCATCTTAAAACCTGAAACATGTTTCAGGTTTAAATAATTCACATAGGGATAATAAACCGTAAAGAAACCCATCTCAATCGATCAAAAGGTCAGTAGGTTATGCTCTGTTTTCCATTGCCCCTATTCATTTCAGTATGCCGCGTGAGTTTCAAACTCTACAAGCTCGTTTCCTTATTATATGTCAGAGAAACCTTTTTTCTTTCTTTCTTTTTTTCTTTCTTTCTTTCTTTCTTAAATCGTCTTCATTTAAATTTACTTTTTCTCGTTCATTTTTTATTCACTTCTTCAATCTTTAACGCTCTTTCTTTTTGGAATTTTCTTTCTTTTATTCTTACTTATCTTTGTCAATCCTATTTTGTTATTCTTCATTTCATTTTTTATTTTTTATTGTATTTTCTTTCCTTTTTACGTACTCTTTTATCTGTGCTTTCAGTTTCATTTATTTTACCCTAAGAAAGACTGAAAAAAAAGTCTTTTGCTAACTAAATAAAAGTACAAAGGCTCCCAGAGCAACCTGTTTCGAAAGTAAGGCCAACAGTAAATTATTTCATTTAAACCTATTTTCCTTCATGCACCCAAAGAAATAACAAGTCGACCCCCCACACACACCGTTCCTTAACATTTGCTTAGGAAATTAATCACAGAAATACAATTAAGCTTCACTGATATTTAATTATTCCTATTAAGCCTTAATTAAAAGTTTAAACTATTAATAAGTGCCCCGGTCAAGTTAGGGAAATAATTACATGCCTGGATGAAAACGATAAATATTTGACAACACACATTTGGTAGATATTTAAATAATTAACAACGTTGAACGCTTTTAAAGAAGCCAGATGTATGAATTAAAAGCTTTTACTGGGAAATGAATATATTATTGCATTGTCAAGGTTGACAACGGCGGTAATTGGTTAGTTCAGAAAGTTTCATTGTTGTGTGTTTTTGGTTTTACGACTTTATTACGGGTTATTTAAAGCCGAAGGATTATAAAATAAAGAATTATTTTGTTCCAAGTGAATATTGCATTAACATTCTTTTGAGAGTAACAATAATTATTCCAGACACAAAGATCTACTATTTAACTTATAGCTAGGGGAAGATGTATTCATACCCTTCTCAGCGGCATTTGCTCGTAAGTGAATGTAACGATGCTGACTGGAATTTGAACTTGGCTCTACGATTTCTTATTTTGAGCCACTATTACATCACGAGCCCAGGGTTATTATCGGAAAGCGAATAATGACATTGTTTGAAAATAGCGGACCGGGAAACATGTTATTTGATAAATCTAGCATACAAAAACGTTTGTTTATTTTTACATAAGAGACATGTGGACTAATAACTTTTGTATGTTTACATTATTTACAAACTGTTATCCTCATCTTCATTTCCATATTCACAATATTTCGGCCGTTGTATATTCAGGACTTCTTCCCACCGGTGTAGATTGTTCTAGTTCACGTGCCATGCCTCTTCCGGATATCTCAGTTATTTCCCTTGAACTCAACTCTTCAAGGTTTTTCGTTCACCACTGCTGTAGCCTGCTATTGAACTCACAAATATTTGGGTCTAGTCCCTGACTCTAACTAACATCTTTATCCACTGGGCCATGTGTCCTTGAGAAAACGTTGTGAATATGGCAATGAAGATGAGGATAGCAGTCCGAATAATCTAAATAATATAAATAGTCATAATACCTCATCTAGATATAGACAGAAACTTTCGCATGGTCAGCATGAACTTCAATTTGAGCTTTGAACTCGTTCTCTTACACCAGACGGCGCCTTCTCAAAACCTCTGTAACCCTACAATGAAAAAAATAATTTATTTCATATTAATATATATTTTTTACGTAATTTTCTTCTTTGTAAATATGCTTAACAAACACTTATCCATTAATTCAATCAGTTATGTGCCATGCACGATACAGGCTTAAGCGACCATGTATCTTTCAATACATGGCTGACGAGGCAGATTTTTCCGGCAGTAGGTTGCCATTTCTTTCTGCGGTAGACCAGTTGCCATCTATCCAAAGATGCAGAACCCGGTCTGTCCTGCTATTTACCCATAGCTGAGAGGAGAAGAGGATTCATATCTCTCCCAAGCGTATTAGCACGTAAATGAATGTAATGGATTCGACTGAAATTCGAACTCGGCTCGCCGATTTCTCAATCTGAGCCGCTAATTACAAATCTGAATTCAAAACTGTACAGAGAAAAAAGAAAAAGAAATCACTCCACTACCTTTCCGAAGAAACCACGTCAATTTGCAAATAATAAATAAAAGGAACCTGTAGAGAGCTATAACCGCCTACGTCCTGTAGAGTCAACGTACAAGGTAACCAAAAATGTTCTGTCCGTTTTTTGATTAGTCATTAAATGAAGTTGAAATATATACGGAATGCGTGTAGCAATTGTTTTCAAATTCGGACAGCCAGAAGTAGAAGCATCAGACGTTATAAAAAACACGCACACCGTGCCCGGCCACCACTTATAAGCTGGACAGCTGTGAGAAGGATGGAAGTGTCTAGAGATCTCGTTCGGGACTGTTTGCTTTACGACTTCAAAGTGGGCTTATCAGCAGCTGCATCAAGTCGCTGCATATGTCAAGCGTTTGGGGATAGTGCTGTGGATAAACGTACTGTGTGGCGTGGGTTTCGAAAATTCAAGTCGGGAGATTTGTCTGTCCATGATGAGCCTCGCAGTGGACGACCACGGCTCTTGAATGACGGAGTCCCGAAGGCGGCCATTGAAGAGGACAGTAGTCTAACGTGTGGTGAACTTGTAATACAGTTCAACGTTTCCGATGAAACAGTTAGACTTCACATGCACCGCCTAGGTAAGACATACAAACTGAGCAAGTGGCTTACGCAAACACTGTTGGAGGTCCACAAGGGACAACGAGTGGCAACCTGCGTATTGCTGCTTTCTCGCCACCGTACCGCATCCTTATTCAATCGAGTGCTTACCAGAGATGAAAAGTGGGTTCTGTACGAAACTCCCAAGCGTTCCAGACATTGGTTGTGTCCTCAGGATGCTGTCCCTCACATCACAAGACCGCCTGTGCACCCACGCAAGATTATGCTTTGTGTCTGGCGGATAGGTCGTCAAGTGGTTCGTTATGAACCGCTACCAACGGTCCAAACAGTCACTGGAGACCTATACTCGCAGCAATTGAAACGTGTGCAACAGGCATTGTGCCAGAAGGATCCAGCACTGGCGAATCGCAAATGTGTGCTTTTCCTCCATGACAACGCCAGGCCGCATGTCGCGCAAGTGGTCAGGGATACCATACAGCAACTTGGGTGGGAGACTTTGTGACATCCACCTTATTCAACTGACCTTGCGCCATTCGATCACCACCTCTTCCACTCCCTGGATAATCATCTTCGTGGGAAATCCTTCACCAATAAAGCAGCCTTGCGCAAATCCCTCATGGTTTTCTTTGCGTCACCCCCCCACTCCGAGTTCTATAGCAAGGGCAATGGACAGCTGGAGACACGTAGGCAGAAGGTGTTCGATGCCGATGGCGATTACTTCGAAGACTAAATATAAGTTACTGTGAAGCGTTTTCTTTTTTTCCTTTAAAAACGGACAGAACTTTTTTGGTTATATTGTATTAAAAAATCAAATTTGTCACTCAGCCATTTTGAAAACCCATTCGGACAAATGTGCGCTATGTGTACTCATGTGTGAATGTGTATACTTGTGTGTGCGTATATATGTGCGTCTTCTGTGCATCTTCTGTGCAAGTGTGCATGGCGAGCGCCTTTTCGAGTGTTTAGAACCATAAGATCCGGGTTCGAATTTCACCATGGTCGATTTGTCAGATCACTTCTTAATATTGTCCTGGAAGACGACCCCAGCGCCAGGCGCCGTTGGAACGTACCTGAAACCTACATCATGGGTTGACTTAAGACTTATGAGTGAAATTGGGTAAACAGAACTGTTCGTAATCCATCGATCGTATTGCTAGCACGAAGTCACAAGTCATTGTGACTGAGCATGTGAGCGTATTTACCTTGTTCAAAACTGTTGATCACACCAAAAACTGCAATTAAGGTCCACTCACCACAGTTGCAATATAAATTACAGATTGGCTGTGTAGGTGTTAATGTTCCTGAGCATGCGTCTTCAGCCGGGATTAGCTACCCACCCCCTTGCAGACGGGCTTGCAGGGAAACGAATAGCCACATATTTACTTTACATTAACAATTTACTCTCTGTTTGTATATGTGTGTGTTAGCATATGTATGTGTTTGTATGGGCGTATGTTTGTATGTGTGTGTTTTTTTGCGTGTTTGTATGTGTATCTGTGTGTGCGTATTTGTATGCGTGTATTTGTTCGTTTATGTCTGTGCGTTTGTCTGTGTGTGTGCGCGTTTGTGTGTCTATGTTTGAATACGTGTGTTTCTAGCAGTGTATGTTTGTTTGTTTGTGTGTGTGTTTATCTGTGTGTTTGTGTACACGTTTGCGTGTGTATGCGTTTGTTTGTGTGCTTGGTTGTTTGCGTGTCTTTGCTCGTTTGCGTGTGCGGATTTGTGTTTGTGTGTGCATATTTGCTTGGTGTTTGTGTGCGTGTGTGTGTTTAGGTATGTCTGATTGTGTATGTATGTGTGTATGTGTGATTGGGCGTGTGTGTGTGTTTGGTGTGTATTTGTACATGTGTTTGTTTGTGTGTATGTAATCATGTGTGTGTATTTGATCGTATGTGTGTTAGTATGCGTGTGTGTGTATCACTTTCTGTGCGGGCCCGCATGTTTGTGTGGGTGTGGGAATATCATAACTTAATCCCTGCCTTTTCATGAATGAAAACCAGCTGTCTCCTGAAACAAATATCAAAACTTTTTTTTTCTTTTTGGGATCAAAGATTGGTTTGTAGTGATAGGCGGTGTTAGGTTAAAAATGATTTATATAAGCAAACACGCCTCTTGTTGTACATCTTTGTCGCGTGTGGCAGACGAAACACACATTCCCCAAATCTCAGTCCAACATATTTTGTAATCATTTTTTTGTAAAATAACACCAGAAACATTTTAAAATAATAAAAACTCAGTGTCTCAACCGTTAAGCGTGTGAACAAGTTATAAAAAAATGGGGTCGTTGTGTGTGAAACGTGCAAGGTTTTGATAACGTGTTTGTTCTACTCCCCTGAGTCCAGTCCCCGAAATTATTGACTCTGTATATTTCCGTTGCTTTCTTTGGTGAGGGTGGGAGGGATTTAATTTAAATTTCAGTGTACTGAATGCACTGGCAACTAATAATTTTATCGTTTAAAATTTGCTATATATATGGGGGAAGTGTTCTTAATATCGCGGATAGAACGTTTATATATGCAGGGTGAGTCAAAATTATGTTAACACTAGTATGAGAGGAATAATTTATTCAGAGTTTATCGAATAGTCTCCACCTGTCTACCAGCAAGATTGATGCAGAAAAACCAGCGATCATCAGTACAATTTTAGTGCCTTGACACACATTTCAGGAGGAATGTTTGATATTACACCTTTTATTCTGTCCTTGAGTTCTTCGATGTTTTTAATTTTTTTTTTTTTTACTATACACGCGATCCTTTATCATAGCCCATAACCAGAAGTCACTAGGTGTCAGATCAGGTGAATGTGGTGGCCATGCCAATGGTCCGCCTCGACCTATGCAACGATTTCGGAAACGTTGATCGAGACAAATGCAAACGGTACGGGTAAAATGAGGCGGTGCACCATCCTGTTGGCAATACCCTGCTCGTCTGATGAGTATGGTATGTAATTAATGCCAAACTCTTGCATTGCAGCACTTCTAAGTAAGCATTTGCAGTCACTGTTGGAGATGTAAAGTAATATGGGCCAATTGCACCCTGTGACTTCTAGTTATACGCGTGTATAGCAAAAAAAGTTAGAGACATCAAGATTATAATAAAATTATATTAAACTCGCTACACAAAATCTTTCATGTTTCAATACTTTGATTGTACTTCTTCAGGCGATGGCAAGTAACGCCTGAAGAACACGTTATTCTTGTCAACTATTATTTATATACTACGTTATAACAATGAAATTGAATTTGCTATTTGTATTGCCTTCAAATGTTCTAATTGTTTCCTTTAGGTTCATATCCAAAATGCAACTTTGGCCGGCGGAGTGGCTGTCGGAACAACTGCAGATCTCATGATCGAACCTTACGGTGCCATCATAATTGGGTCGATTGCTGCTATCGTCTCTACTGTTGGCTACAGATTTGTCACGGTATGTTGAACAATCTTTCGGTTTCATTAATATTCATCCCTATGAGAAGTCTTGTCTTGTAGTCTTAATAAAGTAAATCATAAAGAAATTTACTTTTTAATAAAGTAAATCGAAAAATACAAAATATAACGAAGCAGTGTTTTGTTTTTAATTATTTTTGATAAAGTAAATAGCAATGTAATTTATTTTTTAATAAATTATATCAAAATTCTTGTTTTTCATATTTCAATTTACTTTATTAAAAATTTAGTTTATGATTTACTTTATTAAAAATAATTAAAAACAAACAATTGGTTCATATTTTACGTAATGTCTTTTCAAATGCCTTATTTGAAGAAAAATATTCACTAACGGTTTCAATCCTTAATAAATTACTTTTATTCGGTTATAAAAAAAAAAGAATGTTTTCTGGTACTGAGTCGTCTCGGTCTTGAGTTGTCCTGACGCTCAAGTCAGTGGGTGTTAAGTTGGCGGTGTTGGGTTGTCACTTCCTGTTGACTGGAGGCGTTAAACATTTTTTATCTTCGCTTCTTTCTTTCTAACCAAATCACCGTCTTACGAAGATTCATCTTAATAATAATTCTAAAATAATTCAGCAGGCGATGTTATTTAATTTATGGTAATTAAATATTTGGCGATTGCCTTACTGGGTTTGTGTCGTTCGTCTGAAAAATGCCGCGTTGATCAAGGTTGCCATATCTTCTCCGCCTTGGGCACCTCGGCATGGTGTAATGGTTAGCAAAATTGTCTCGCTAGATCAGTTACAATTGAAAAGTGAGTTCGATCCTCACTAGATGCCCCATACTTTCGGCCTTGTGCCACATCTAAGCTATGCTTGGAAAATAACTATCTTCTCCGCCTTTTGGCTGAGATCAAAGTGTAGTATCTGTTCTCGTTAGCTTAATCGGATTCTCTCTCTCTCTCTCTCCCACTTTTATCTTCAAGTCTTTTTTCTTCTTTTTTTTGTTTTCTCATTGAAACCCTGTAATATCTTTCCCCCTCTTTCCACGTGATCAAAACGCAGAATAGTCCATTATTTATGGGGTATTGACACGGCATAACGGTTGTGTTATCTGACAAAGTGATGGAAAAGCACAATCATAATAGGATAATAAAGATATTGATTCATAGATAATCTTTAGATGTGCACATGAAAATAAGGCTTGTAATAATCACCTGTAAAAAATTCAAATACTTGTGGCACGTTATAATTTATACTAATAGTAATAATAATGTAGTGGCGTAATAGATAATATTTAGATGTGTACATGGAATGAGCTTTGGAATAAAGGCTTGCAAAAGCCGAAATTTCTTTTGATACACCCTAATAAATGATAAAAATATTAATAATATTGTAGAGTCATGGATAGTTTTAAAATTTGTACATGGAATAGGTATTGCAGTAACGCTCTGTAAAAATAGTTTGGAATAACCCAGCATTTTGTGGGGACATGGAGTCAATGAATGAATGTATGAAGCAGTGAAAACACTCAGCACCAATATGAACTGCCACCAGTACAGTGTCTTGTAGTCAATCAACTGGTGTTCATGGTGTCATGTGTCTACGCAACGCTCGAACACTAAAATCAGCCCGATATATTACTTTTGGCACGTCAATTCAAGGAAAGACGACGCGTCCCTTGGAAGTTCCAAGAAATGAACGGATTCCGATCCCAACTGAAAAACCGTAAATATTACTTTATGTATGAAGTGTATTCTCTATGAGATTCAGATAATATATATTCGTTAGTGTGTATGTATGTCTAGTAGACATTATGTTTTGTAGTGTTTCCCTTGTTGATTTGGAGACGTTTGAATTTCGAACGCCACAAATTATGCTAACTTTTGTTTATCAAGTCGAATGTGCGTAAAACCTCATTAAGCAAAACAGCAAAAAAGTAAAAATAGCAAAATATATTTCTTCGTTTAGCGTGTTGGCTTTTTCTTTAATTATTTTATGTATAAGGTCTCTACGAGAAATTAACATGAATTAATAGTTGTGAAATAGTACATGCACAAAATAAGAGATCGATTGATCTGCAATACAAGATAACATTTATTTAATAAAAATAACAAAAGGAGAGTTTAAGAGTTCTTTACCAAGAAATAAATGGAATGCACAAATGAAAATTGTTAATTAATATGTGTGATTTGTCTGTAGCGTGAAGCGTCCACAGCCCTTTTTTGCTTCGGTGTAAAAAGTTGATGGCACACATTTCGAAAGTAGGAAAAAACAAGCAAATGAGAGAGTTACTTAAGGGTTCGCCTATTTTTATACCCATCGCCAGTTTTTATACCGTTCGCCTGTTTTTATACCGTTCGTCTGTTTTTATACCGTCTGAGTTATTATGATACTACATTCGTTTTCTTCATATCTCATTCGCTGATGAAGCATTAATAAAAGTGAAACATGTTAGATTGATAAACGTTTGCTATTTGTTCTTTATCTTATCACTCTAAACAGTATAATTATGTTATTAGTCATGATTTATTTTTCTCTCTACCAACAGCCTTTCCTCTCCTCCACTTTGAAGACCCATGATACCTGTGGAGTGAACAATCTCCACGGCATGCCCGCACTTATTGCTGCTATTGCCGGGGCAGTTACCGCCGCCGTCGCCACTGAAGATACATACGGTTACAGGTAAGTAGATAAAAGAAAACATCAACATACCTTTGCCGACACAAATCCGTCAATAAAACCGATCTCGCTATCATGATTATGCAAACATATCGTGCCGAGTAATACCAAATTGTCATAGAGACTTTTGGCTGTGTACCTCACGGTTCTAGCAAAGTGATTGAATAGGAGGTGGAGTAATGGATTGAGGAATCGGAGAGCTGAGTTCGAATTCCAATCGAATCCATTATATTCACTTATGTGCTAATACCACTGGGAAAGGTATGAATCCTCCTTTCCTATGGGTAAATTGCAGAACAAACCGGGTTCTATAGCCTTGGATGGCAATTGGTCTACTGCGGGAAAAAATCTGCCTTGTCAGTCATGTATCGAAAGATACATGATCGCCTAAGCGTGTATCACGCCCGACCTGGTTGAATAGTTGTTGAACCCGAAGGAAGACATGGTAGTAGCGAATAGAGAATATGATCGTCTAGGTGAGATTTCTATAGAATTGTAGTGAAAAATTAGGTCTAGAATACTCAGAATTGGCGATCTACTGCTTCAGACCTCGAAGTTTGTGGAAAAATGCAAAGGAAGGAAATGAGAAAGGTTGCTGTAGACGGGAATAAAAACAAAAATTAGCAGATTAAAAACGAAAAGTTTATTTTTTGATGGAATTAATGTATCGCGTCACACGAAAACTTTTTTTCAACTTTGACATACTTAATTCGTCTTTAATTTGTTAAGTGAAGAAATTTTAATTGTGTGACCGGTAATGAAACCGGCAGAGTTTGTTGTGACAGATGTGTCATCCACATATTAGGTTGCATCTCTTTATTCAGACCAGATCTAAATCCTATTGAGCATGTATGAACACTTGGTAAAAATTATTAAAACTAATATATCGCAGTTACGGACAGTTATGTGACTTGACTGAATAAGTATTCCCAAGCAACGGCATCAATACTTCTTAGACTTATACCATGTTGCGTAACCGCCGTTATTCATGTAATGTGAAGAGTTACATATTAGGGAGCATTCTTTACTTTGTTAGCAGTAACTGGGATGTATTTGTTGGGTGTGGTTTGTAGAGAATTTGTTAGTAGTTTATATCTATTTCTCTCTCTCTCTCTCTCTCTATATATATATATATATATATATATATATGTATATACACACACACACATATATATATGTATATATATATATATAGAGAGAGATGTATACACACACACACACATATATATATATATATTGTTACGAACTTGTAGCATATAGATGAACCACGGCTTCTAAAAAAAGGAAAACGTAGTTTCTTTTCTCGGTCTTCACTCAGAAATGGAAGCGGCACAAAGGGAATCAACGAAGAACAGACGCAAGACGATGGATTTCAAAATAAAACATTTATTTATAAATATATATAACGGAGTAAAGAAAGAAAAAAAAAGAACATTCATTTAACAAAGGGGGAGGACATCATTAAAGAATAGAAGGCGCGAGCGAATACATACATATATGAAAACAGATCAAGCCAAACGAACCAACTTCTCTTGCAGTCGGGTTGGTATCTTCACATAAAGTTTTGATTCGCCGAAGCGAGAGTTCTGATGATAAAACAGTATCTTGGCCGGCCGACAATATTCCTGGATTCTTTTTTCTTTTCGCAAGTGTTCGAGGGTCCACAGCATCTCGCACAGGCGTTTCGTTGTGTTGATCAGTCCATAGCAGCCCTTTCACTCCTAGTCGATAGACTTTGCTGTCTTACTCATCACAGTGGGCGGTCTGACGATTTTTGCCCAGCGACGTTCAACTGCCGCTGGTCAGAGGGAAACTGAAAAATCCTTTTTTGGTTTTCGCTGTCCCCAAAGACAGTCACGTGGGTCCCCTTCGTCCTTGACCGGGTACGCAGGAGGATAGGGCGCAAATCACGCAGTGCTTGTGTGATGGCCAAAAGTTCAACACATGCTCCGTACGTCCCGATCACGTGAATCGCAGCAGGAGACCCTGATGGTGCCTGGAATTCACTTATGGTCAGCCGCGAAAGCTTGAAACCAGGTCATTCTCGCGTCGGGTCACTTCGAAGTTCGCGGGCCCTTGGCTCGTGGGTGGAAGAGTAGAGAAAGAAAGAAAGAATTTGGGAAAAGAAAAGAAGGATATGGGTGATCATAGAATATATTCGCTCGCGAGTCGGAAGCATTGGATTAAATTTCTGTTTTTATTTATTTATTTATTTTTCTTTTATATCTAACTAATTTTCTCTTTATTTAAGATTTTACTTTAGCCTAACGCCTATATGGTTGCTGAAATCGTGGCTACGTGACAATATATATACATAGAGAGAGAGAGAGAGAGAGTACAGGTAATAAATCCGTTGGTATGTAAATAATCCAAGTGGATCCTAATAATATAAAATATTAAAACTGATCCACAAAAAGAGCAAACTGTATTTATTGTAACAGACCGTATAAATTACATAACAAAGAAATCCAAAATTAGCTCATGGGTATAGACTATTTCAACTAACGCGTTAACTTTATTCAACTCAAATGGTGGACTGTATTCAGTGTCGGAACTAGAAATTTAAAAAATAATAATAATAATAAAAAGACAGCAGTTGAAAATTGATACATAGCCATCTCATAACATAGAAGACAACACAAACAGCTCGAGTGGTGATAAGGGGAGGGCAGATGTTGTCTGGCTTAAATGGAAAGAAGCTACACAAATTCAACCCAGATATTAACAATTTTTTTCTTTTTTTTTGTTATATAATTAATAATTAATCATCTCGTTTTATAAAACTTCTTTTTTCCGGGTTTCTTTTAATTTCTCTTCATCTTTCTTTTAACTCCAACCTGGGGTGCTAAGGTTAATATCTGGGTTGAATTTGTGAATTTGTTATTTAATACATACATACATACATATATATATATATTTTTTTTTTTCAGGCAGCTTGTGACATTAATGTAATAAAATTATAAATAAATAAAATATTTTGCTTTTTATACATAATCACAGTAACCTTCCTAATTTTGTTGGATTAAGGGCATATTATACCACAGAAGAAAATGTAGCTGCTTATCTATTTTATTCAGGGTTGACTCATGTACGACGTGATAGTACCACATTACGAACTTAGGGGCTGCGTCTGCTATTCCGTAACCGTTATCGCCGCATAGCAAAATTCTATATAAACATAACAGTATGTCATCTTTGATGGTGAACAACTCTGTTGTAATGTCCATATAACTACTCTGATGATGGCTCATGTAAGCCGAAAGCTTAGATCGAAGAACAGCAAAATAAAAAATATCCACATTGTGGACAGATTTTGTCTTTATTTTCTTCCGAAACTAAAGCCACTATACGAACCTTAGAACGGCCCATGATCAAACATAATAGCCATTTGTTGTCCGTCATATTTAACAATATATGTTTGAATACATATATATATATATATATATATATATATATATATATATATATGTGTGTGTGTGTGTGTGCGTGTATATAAATATAACCATATATATATAATATATTATATATATTATTGTTTATATATTATATGCGCGGTACTTATTAGAAAGCGCTCAACATCAGAGATAGAGAGCTAACATATTTGGTTGGATTGATTTGTGTTTGTGACCTGGGTTTCACGCTTTTGCGTGAATGAAACTCTGACGATCGTAAAAGCGTGAAACCCAGGGTCACAAACTCACATCAATCCAACCATATATATATATATATATATATATATATATATATATATATATATATATAGGATTGTGTATACGGAATAAATTCCAATAACCAACAAATACTATTCTTAAAAGAGTGCTCAATACAGAGTAGAGCAAATATAATTACTTATTCGATAATTATAGCATAAATATGTTATAAAAGCACTACAAAAATAGCCATTTTGTCTTAACACTTCTGGTGTCTTATCAAATGATGGTGTTGAATATAGAATAAAGTGGTTTAAAAGGTTCAAATCAATCAAATATCCCTCGTTAGGAGAAACGCTGTCACATAAGCTGGAATGAACAATCAAAATACAAGTATATGAGAATTCAAAAAACTTGAAAACGGACCTAGGTTATAATAATTATTTAATGCTTTAATGTTGGGGTTAGACTAAAATAGAATTCATTTTAACTAATAAGAATTAAATTATATTATTTGATTGATTTGAACCTTTTAAAACCCTTTATTCTATATTCATCACCATCACTTGATAAGACAACAGATGTGTTGAAACAAAATGGCTATTTTTTTAGTGATTTTATAACATATTTATATTATAATTTTCGACTAAATAATTATATATATATATATATATATATATATATGTATATATATATGTGTGTGTGTGTGTGCGTGTGCGTTTATGTGTGTGCGTGTGTGTTAGAGTGAGAGTGTAATGTTGTTTTGAATCTGACAGAATGAAATATATATATATATATATATATGAGATTTTTTTTTAATTTTCCACTCTCCTAATTAATGCCAAAAGAAAAACGTGTAAAATTCACAAAAGTGTATAAACAACAATACAATAAAGGAAGTTCATTAAATTACTTACAAACACCAAAACTATTGAACTTGAAAGAAAATTAGCTATTCTCAATATAAAAATTTTCACAAACACCAGTTAAATATTTAATCAAAGTAAAGCAGAATTAATTTTATATCAGGAGTCTTCTAACTTAAGATATATCAGCAAACCATTCCGGCATTCAAAGAATGCATGAAGAGATTTCAAATTAAACAACACACTCAATGCTATTATATACTACCGAAACCTTCCTGATGACAATTTTGATCTGGAAAACGTTTTTTTTATAAAAAATGTATATAATAGATAATATACTCAGACGATGATGTATTGAAAAAGCAATGACCTTCGACCCCACTAAGATTCATATGCAGCCGTCCTATCTAAATATATTTCATTCTCTTATTAAATTGATGCTGAAATAATGAGAGATATGTACGCCATAAAAAGAAGTTGAAATTCGTTCAAATCTAATTTCTATGATGAAACGGTTGAAATAAAATGCAATGGGAGGAGACTTTTGATTTGAATGAAATGCTGTTTATTCTGATGACTCCGGGCCATCTGCAAAACATGTCAAGATAAAACGTTTCAAAATTATTTTATATATTTAATGCCCATCCAAATTTCTATTTATCTATGTATGAAAATAGCAGTGAAGTATGAAACTGACAATCACAGTGCAGTGTTAGTACACAGTCGTACATGATATTAAAAAATAATCTGTATCGTGAAAGTGTGTAAGAGCACTTCGCAGTTACGTGATGCTGCCTGTTTCGGGCCGGTGTACGCGTTGAGAGATAAACACATGTGTCTCCTGAAATGCCCACAACAAACATGGCAGACTCGGAATATGAGTCCACGTAAAAATATAAAGAAAGAAACAAAGACCAATATATATGTGTACATAAAAAATGATAATGTATTAACAATAAAGTGTTATATATACAATAGAATGTTGCTGTGTTACCGAACAAGGGAATATGAATGGAGAAAACATTTAAGCTAGTGAATTGTTTGTGTATGTGTAGTTTAGTGTAGGAGAAACACCTAGAAAAATCGAAATGAAAGATGCGTACGTACAGGTATGCGTGCGTATTTTGTTCATGCGTGCCCCCAAAAGGAACACGTTCTCCTGCGATAAATTTACATGTTGACGTATATGCAAAGAAATGGTGGGGAGAGGGTGAGAAAAGATATTGTCGAGTATTTATAGTACCGGAAAGCGTCCCCTAGTAGCGGTTTCAAAAATTAGGAGGAGGTCCCCTGTCATTGCCAAATACAAGAAAACATTTTTTTAAATAAATAATTCCCTCGGCAATAGATTTTGAAAGTTTATTCATTCTAAAATTGTCTTTCTAATATTTAATTTAAAAAAATTGTTTAATTTGCCATTTCTTAAAGCTGTTCATTTGTACCCTCTTCTTTAAATGACCTCCATGCATACTTATGACAGTTATTGCAATATTTTGTTAAATTTGTTAAGCTCAAATATTTAATTAATCACTAGGGGAATTTCCATGAGTATTTTATAGCCTTGGAATTTGCAACGAGCTTCTCCAATCTTAGTTTAAGAATTAAGATTCATTCGAAAATTTAAATAGGAAAAGCGTGAAATGTTCAGAAGTATTGCTAAATCATTTGATTGTCCTAAGTACATGCTTACTAAAACTAGCATATATATAACATTCTATATCCTAAAGTGAAATGAGTAAGAGCAATGAAGCTGTTTGTATTAAGGACATGTGTAGTTCATTAATCCATTACACCACTAACCTCGTTTCCATTAGGAAAAAATACTTGCAATAATGTCTTCTGACAAAACTATTTATAATCCTAACAAAGAATACGATTTCTGTAAGCCCTGAATGGTAACACTCAATGTTATGCGAAAGGAAATACTTTCCTTGTGCGTATAAGTTCCTTCTAACTGCTGAATCAATGACACTTGTCACGACAGTTATGTAATTTACAGGAGAATTTAGATTAAAAAAAACCTTATCTCTAAACCGTACAATAATCGGCCACTACTTACTAAAATGGTTCGTGTATGTAGTTTTATGCACGCCCAGTCGCCCATATTGTAGGCACTTGGCTTTCTGAGACAAACACGTTTTCTTTTTCTTCAATAACCAACTTAATTTTATTACAATTTGAATAAGGGACTATCTTTTTATTCTGAGTTTTTTTAATGCTTTCAATATTGTCTTTTTTTTCTTCTGTAATTTTTCTCCATGCTTAAGCCTGTTAGTTCTTCGGTTTTCTTCTCGTAAACATATGCAAGTAGAAGGCTTATCGTTGATTTTATAGTGCGCAACATTTGACAACAATCTTTCGGATCAACATGCAGTTCAAATTACTTTGCAAAATTATATAGCGATTATTATTACCATCACTTAATTCCGATCAAAATTAAATGCAGATTTCAACATTATTATTTCAAATTTATCACAGTGGATACTCAAATGTAAGTCGAGATCAAGTCTAGATTGATTATGATATTTAATGATCTAGCTTGTATATAATCTAAGCCAAGTTGTGTCGCAAGTGTTTAAGTGAAGAACTCTTTCCTTTATGCACCGTGTTTCTTCAAGACTTGGAGAATCATGACTCTCCACAACTTCCTACTCTTTGTAGCTCTAAGCCCGCCTTACTAACCTTCCTAGTCTCTGTGCTGTCATGCACTTACACAAACTATTTAGGTAAATTAAATTTTCCTTGTATTTCTCTTTCTTTTAGTATGTCCTGTGAGTGTCAGATTTTCCAAGCGCTCTTTCCTCAGTATTTGTTCCAACTGTCTCTTTCTAAATGAATGTAAAATGTTTTTGTTCTTGTTTTCCTTAAAAATTCTTTGTCGCCCACATATTATGTCTGTAGTATTCTGTGTATATTTTGGTAGAAGTAGTTTTTGGCCTCCAGTCTCCTCTTGATCTATGAGGAAATTATCCAGTATCCACGGCCATGCAAAATGATTTATATGACATAGCACTTCAACACTCTTTTCCTTGCTCCTAATGAAACTTTCCTGTTTCTTAATCTTTAAAGGGCATCGTTTGCTAGTCCAATGTACTTTGGGATTTCAGTGCCAGTTTTTGTAATCTGTCTGTTAAAGCACTTCCCTGATATTTAAAATTTCTGTAGTTGCATGTTGACGACGTTCCCAGTTATGAGCTCATATCTTGAGCTGACAATAATAAATTGTCTTCTTACAATTAGTCCTTTGTTACGGCTTTTCTTTAATACTTTATTTCGGAACCCCTGCTGTGTTCTTTGTTTGTTTGTCATTTATAGTGTCAACAGCCTCATTGAGTATCGCACATAGGGGGTTTTCATTTGAATACTTTTGAGGTATTTTCATGTAGAAATAGTAATCCAACAGATCATTTCTATTACATAAAGCGAGCTTCACTTTCACTGGCTGCCCCACTGTTATGATCTTGCGCCAGAATATGGTAAACTCGAAGTCTTCACTCTGTAGCAGGAGATGGCAAGCTAATCTTGCAGGTGAGATCAATCTTCATCGGAAGCCTGACACTCTTGACATACTAAGATAAAACTTATTAAATATTGATGAAACTACACTATTATAAATTACCGTTTGTTTATTTCAGTCTCTACGAGATGTTTCCGGCTCGTGTACCAGCAACAAATAATTCCGAGTATTTCCGAATTAAGGACAACGTTGATGTTTCCCTGGGGCTAGGACGCACGGGTATGCAGCAGGGTGGCTACCAAATTGTAGCTTTACTCGTCACTCTCTGTATTGCTGTTGTTGGCGGTCTCATCACAGGTAAGAGAGTCATAATTTTATAGGGGTGTATTTGGCGGTGGCTAAAGATATTCTCAGGGATATACCTGGGCGCACGGTCGAGTGATTAGAACGTTCGGTCTCCGACATTAAATTCTAGGATCGAATGTCAGGAAGGCGACTTCTGGATTTTATCAGTCTAGGGTGCTGATAACAGCGTGCGGTACCCCTGGAAAACGGCTGAAAACCATACTACGGATTGACACAAGCCTTTTAAGTGAAATTAGGTAGACGGAACATTTTGTAAACCGTCGATGGTTAAGTTAGAACGAAGCCACAAGTCATCGTGACAGAGGGTTTGAGCCTACTGGCATTGTTCAAACTACTGATCTTGTTAAGATAACTAACGTTTGCTCCGGATAATTGCAGTATAAACCACAGGCGGGATCTGTGGATATTGAACAAACACAAATGTGCCTGAGCATATATCTGCGACAGGGAGTGGCTAATAAGTAAAATTATTTTAAAAATATATATGTATATTTATTTTGTATAAAATATACATGTACACACGCAAGCGTACAAACTTACACCCACGATTTGGATGAATTTGAAATAGAAAAATATGTCGTGGGCGTTAATTTCCCTTTGGCAAGAAATCCCGGCTAACAGGAAAGGCGTATATGAAGTCATTTTATAACTCCTTTTGTATTCGAATATATTTTCTAATAAATGTAATATCTTAAATGAACAATCAATGTCGATTTGAAATTTGGTCATTCTGTTGTCAACAAAACGATGGGTATCGAATTAGTAATATCTATAAAATCAAAGATGAGAACAGTACTTGGAATAAGTCAATGTATATTGGTAATTTATCATCACAAAATAATGGGCACTTGAAGATGGTCAGAGGGTACTTGGCTGATATGAGGGTACTTGGTCTATAATAGCATCGATAACAATAAAAGATGGGAAAGTAATTTGAATAAATCAATTTATAATGGTAATTTTACATGTCAAAAAATGCTGACCTGAAGATGGCTATTTATTTTATTTTATTTTATTGCATAGAATAAAAATCCAAAATTACCTCATTCGAATAGCTATTTCGGCCCACAAGATTTACTCATAGGCCATGTCAACTCGGAGGTGTAAAGAAATAAAATATATATATATATATATATATTTTTTTATGATTTATTGCTTAAACATTATTTTAATGGATACCCATATTTGAGTAGATGCTCTGTTTTTATTTATTTATTTCCATCTACCGACCTGAATATTCGAGAAATCTTGTTAAAATAATACACACCATCTGGCGGGATTTTAATCTGTGTCCCTTTGAAACCATCATTAAATCTGGTGTGCCTTGAATTCTTGGCCACAAAGAATGTTATGGTGGTGGGAAAGTGACTGAAGTTGAGATGCCAAGGCAGGACCAATAACATTGCTGATTCTTCTTTGTCAAAAATCTCTGGATATAAAGCAGAAGCATCAGGCCAAATGTAGCAGCAATATTCCATACATAAGCAAATGGTAGACCTATAAATGTGAAAGATGGATTCCTGCAAGAAACCTAAGGAATATTATTCAAAACATGTTGAAAAGCAGCAATATAATTAGCAATAAGTCATTGCAAATAATGGTGAATATATAATAAACCAATAAAAATCCTAGATGAATACAGTAGTTCGAATAAATAATATTATATATACTTACTCTTTTTACATTCCCTGTTGTTTGTTGCCTTTCGTTTCCCGAACAGTTTAGTGTGCCTAAAAAAATCCTGTTTTAAAATAACTTTGTACCTAAAACGACTCCCTAAAACAGACCACCTGTGTCACGTTCGTGTCGTAACTTTTTTGTATTTTGTTTTGATATAATGCAATGTTTTTCGTTTTCCAGGTGTCATATTAAAGTTCGTGAAAATTCTGGATGAACCACAAGGAGATGAGATCTTCGAAGACCATAAATTCTGGCACCTCCCCGAGGATGAAGAAGCTGAAAGCGGCGTCACCCAAACCATAATGACGACATCTGCATAAAAGAGAAAAAAGCGCGCCAAAAGATGTCGTCCGTCATTTTCATTCTTACTTCGTTTGCAGAAGCCGATACTGGAGAGAATTATTCGTAAATAAATTGACTCCATAAAGTAAAAAAAAAAAAATAAGCAATAAGGTGCTGTCAAATAGCCCTAAAATATGAAATCGGGTGTCATTGCAATATGTTTATATCTTTTTTTAATGTAATAATAATAATAAAAAAAACAGCATTATCTCATTTGTTAAAGCGTTTAAAGCCATTGAAATTTAAAAGCTTATTAAAAATCAAATATTTATTAAACTAGCAGTGTGGCTGTAATTTGTAAATTAATCTCGCATAATGCTAGAGTGAAGAGAAAATAACACTATTCAACGCTGTTATTATTAACACAACTTCTTTCTCCTTTTAATCTATCTCTTTATCTATTTCACTTCGGGGCGCGCCAGCGTGGAGTATTATAAACGAGGCTAGTCTGGACGTGTAACGTGTTCGATCCTCACTGGTCGCTCCATTAAACAATTCGACATTAAATTTTATTTCAGTTGAAAAAGTTTGTTGCTGTGCATTTATTTCCAGATAATTTTTGGAAGATTTTAACCATTCTGTTTTTGTTTTAAATGAAAAAAAATATTGCCCCTCTCAAATTATATCTATGTGATTTGTATTTTTGTTCTAGTTTTTTAAACAAATTTTGACTATCGATGAAATGTGGATACATTACAACAACAACGTGGAATACAGGGTTCGTGGCAGAAGTGAAAGGAACCATCGCTAACAGCACCAAATGTTGGTTTTCATCGAAAGACAATAATGCTGCGTACGCGTAGCAATGGAAGAGACACACCTCTTCTCCCGGCGAAGAAAACGATTAATTTAAATTTTTCTTTAATTAAATTGAATTAATTTTTTAATAACGTTAGTGATAGTAGCTCTTCAAAGATTTCTTTCATTATTAGCTGTAAAATATCATGAATTATTTAAAAGATAGGGACGTGGTTTCCCCCCTTGCCTTCTTCACGGTTCTGAATTCAAGGTCGTCTACCTTCTACACTGATTACCACCTAAAGTTAAAGTCTGTCCTGCAACTTAACCCAGAGCTGTCGAGTGAGGAGAGAAGAATTGAATTCCTGACTTTCCCAAAAGCATTTTGGGCTAAAGTGAATGCACCAGTCTAGGTCGTAACTTTATCTAGTTTAAACGATTCCATTTTTCTTTCTAATAGCTGTTACGTCATCCGCACATTTGAACAATTTTGCCACACATGGTTTAGTGCCCCGCTGTTCATCTCGAGGTTCTCGACAAAATCCAAAGACGGATATATAGTGGATAGCTCCTGACCTGGCATCTCGACTCCAGTCACTTTCTCACAAACGTGATGTGGCTTCCCTCTGTCTTTTCTACAAACATTTTCATTGTAACTGCTCTGACGAGATATTTTCACTGGTGCCTCAACTGCATGAATTTAAGCGTGATTCTAGGTTGGCATCTCGGCCTTTCACTGTCAAAACAGTTAAATGTAACCGCTTCTTCTATTCCAACAGCTTCTTCTCTCGCACTTCCCGGCAGTGGAACTCCCTTCCCCTTACTTGATTCCCTGATAACTACAATCTTCAAATGTAATGTCAATTATATGATATTTTGATCTATATCCCCGTCCTTCTTTTTATCTTTTCCTCAAACCCCCCTCTTTGCCCTTACTTTCTATCTTTGTAAACCCTTGCGTGCTAGTAGCACTCCCGCCTTGCTTGGGGCGAAAAAAACAGTCGACCGAAGTATCCAAAATTATTTAACCGAAATGTCATAATAATACACCGGGATAACGCTAGATTGGATGCAAAAATCGAGAAGTTTTCAGCTATACTCACCAGATATTTCATTTTAAAATTTATTCTGGTATTTATAAAATTCTCTTAAAAATATTAAATTGTGTAGAAACTGCAAGAGGTACCTTTAGCCTCCAGTCAGGTTTTGAGTGGAGATAATTAATGGATTGCCAGAATGTAGTTTAATTTAACAGTAAATAAATTGTTCAATAATTTAAAATATCGAAAATTAAATAAAAACTTTATTCGATTCAATAATTTGGACTGGTTCTCCTGTTAGTGTTATATATTTCGAAATTCCCAACAAAATAAAAAAAAGTCAGTAACGTTATCAGTCCTGACCTCACATCTCGAATTTCAATCACTTTCTCACAACCATAACACGGCTTCCCTCTGTCTTTTCTATAAGCATTCCTATGGAAATTGTTTTGACGAGCTCGCCACTGCCTTAAACCGGGTATTGAACTCACACTCTTTGGGTTCTGTCACTAGATCTAACCAACGCCTTTATCCACTGTGCCATGTGTCCTCAAGGTTAAGTCAGTAGAGAACTTGGAGATAACTGATAACTGACATCCATTAACCAAGGCACGGGGAACTAGAACAGTCTACTCCAAGGAGCGAAATAAAGGTTTCAGTTCGACATTCCAACCACCTGAAGAAGGCCGGAGCGTACAACGGCCGAACCGTTGTAATAAATATGGCGACAAAGATGAGGACAATAGTCCGAATAATGTAAATAGTGTCTGCAATTCCGTTACAGAACTGCATTTAACACAGTCAAGATTCTTATAGCCAGGGCAAGTGCAAGAGTTTAATGCACCTAAAATCTATGACACGGGTTCACCACTCTACAACATCTCAATTTTCATTAGGTAGTATCCATATAAAATACAAATTTTATTGTAATCTAATTAGGCACAATAATGGATGATATGAAATGCTTGTGAATGATTAACCAATAAATAAATAAATACAATGTATCTAAATACAAATTAGAGACATGTCATAATAGATCATTCCATCTTAAATAAATTCACAATGTCTTTCGACAGTTTTAACATGAAATTTTTCTTGTTAAAATTTGAATAATTGAACACATTCGACATTATGGATAAAAAATAATGAATTTTATATTGTGTTGTTCGAGACTTACCAAGAATAGAACAAATTCACGCATTTGGACGAAAAAAAGACCGCAGAATGACGTCAAAAACCACGAAAATTTTTCATCTTTTAATAGTTAGTTGTGCTTATTTTAATTTGTAACATGTATAAATGAAGGTAGAAAAAGTCAATTGACGGTAGAATAGCGAGGGTCACAAAGCACTGCCCGGAGCCCCTATCAAGATTGGTGCCGCCAATTTCGGGATAGTATGATCCATCCCTGCTTATAGCTATTACCATTATAAAAATGTTTCAAACTTTAAATTTGACTTCCAAAAATTAGAGTTTATCATTTCTTTTAAGGGTGATTTATAAGAGAGAACGTCTAAGTTATTATTCTTAAGATGTGGATATGAGTTATCAAACATTATTTTTTCAAATGTCATTTTTCAGATTGTGAGAATAATTATATATATATATATATATATATATATATATATATATATATATATATTGCGAATGGATATTGTATTAACAATTTCTTGAAGATAATAATGGTTGTCAGATAAAACTTCTTACTATTTTAACCCATATATGGGGGTAGAAAATGTGGATTAAAGCTTAATGTAACGGATAAGTGCTCCAAATAAGAAATTGGAGAACCGAGTTCGAATTTCAGTCGGGCTCATTACATTTACTTACGCGCCAATGCCTTTGGGAAATCCGTAAAAATACAAATCAATCAATCAATCAATCAAACCAAGTTGCACCTCTTATATGTCTTTTACACCTTTCCACGTGATCAAAACGGAATAGTCCATTATTTATGAGATATTGGCAAGAAACGTTAAACACTTCTATCTTTGTTTCTTTTTTTCTTTCATTTTATAAGTGAAACCAAGTAACGTCTATGATATGTCTTTTCTGTCTTTCTACACTATCAAAACCTAATAGTCCATTATTTATTTGGCATTGGCAAGGCGTAAAGGTCGTGCTAACTAAAGGAGGTTTAAGCAGAATTATATAGAGAGCGTTTTGTTTTTTTTGCCCGGTTCACACTCTTCTCATGTCTTTTGATCAGGAGTAAAGGTTTATCCCTTGTTTTCTGTTCAGGATTGGGATTCCGGTTACTTCTGAAGTCTACTTCAACTCTATAACTCTAACGTCCGCGCCTAAACTCTGAAAATTTTACTATTTATATTTTATTTATCTCTTCAACAGGAATAGATAGGTTCACCTATCGCCCGGTTCAAATTCTTCCCTTGTCTTTTGATCAGGAATTGAGCTTTAACCTTTGTTTTCTATTCAGAGTTGGGTTTCCGGTTCATTCAGCTCTGCATTCCCAATACTTGTCTTTTCTTAGGTTAATATAACTCCACCCTGTAACACTCTACCTTGAGTGGCTCTTGAACTTTGTATTAGGCGAACGTTAATAAAAAGAAATCTACGTAGACATCGTCAGCGGGATAAGAACAATCCATTCCCATCGATTAAATTAAGGATTCACTACAATTTTTCCTGTAGGTTACCCAGTTCGATAAGCACGTGATGCATGCTGTCCGCAGAGCACAACGGCCGAAACGTTGCCATAATAACACGAAGCATGAGGTCAATAGCTCGAGTATAAATATATAAATTATGGTATATCTTATTTTTATATTTTACTATACGAGGTCCGTCTGAAAAGTAACGGGACTGAGTGTGCTGTGTGAGCTATGGACATTGTCCACAGGAGGTCCTTTCCGCCGGTCCAGACGACCAGTCAGCAAGTGTACAAAAAGATCTTGTAGCGTTTGCTTCACTTAGTGCGTGAGAAGAGAAGAGAAGAGAAGAGAGTTGTGGCAGAACAAATAGTGGCTACTTCTCCACGACAATACACCTGTTCACAATGCCCTAAGCACCCGGCATTTCTTGGCCGAGAAGAAGATTGACGTACTGGAATAACCTTCCTATTCATCTGATCTTGCTCCGTGTGATTTTTTCTTTTCCGCGAGCCCAATGGGATCCTCAAGGGGATCTGTCTAGAAGGCGTGAAGGCCATCAAGAGGTTCGTAACGTCGGAGCTGAGTAGG